CCTGGTCCTCGGGTGACGGCCATTCCTGGGCTGGCGGGCTTCCTTCCGGGATGTCTCCCTGGTCCTCGGGTGACGGCCATTCCTGGGCTGGCGGGTTTCCTTCTGGGATGCTGTCCACTCTGAGGATTATAACATGGATGATGTAGTTATTTAGGGGCCACAGAAGAATCAAAAGGAGAGATCACATGGATCCCCCTCTATTAAAGACAAAGCACTTAACACCATGAACTATGACCAACTCACAAATAAATCGTCATTTAGCAATGATTTAGCACTGAGCACCCAGGACCATGTCCTCAGGGCTTTGGTCAGCATTTTCGTTTCGCAGTGAGTGGGGCTCCCTGACAGCCGGGCAGCCGGCCTCGGCCCACCCACAAGGTGCCTGGGAGGGGGGGGAAGGAAAGAGATTGGGCGTTCTGTGCACCACACAATGGTGACGTGTGACTGGCTGCAAATACCATCAGAGGTCACAGCTGACAGGGAACCAAGCCTGGCACAAGAAGGAGGGGCCGCAAGAGCAAGGCCTCATGGGGGGCGGGGGCTAACTGGTTCCTAAGAGCCGGGACGCAAGCCCACAAGCATGCTCAGCGTGGAGGCCACGGAGGGAGAGGCCACCTCAGAGCCGAAGGGCAACCACAGAGCCCAGGGCGCTAGGTGGAGACCCCTCCTCTGCAGCGGGCCCGGCCATGGTGGCCCCACATGACAGATGCAGCTGAGCTCCTGCCTGGGGTCAGCCCCAGGCCTAATGCCAGCACCGAGACCAACAGAAAGTGGCCGTGCCCAGCCTCGCTGGGGGCAGAGGTGCTGATGACCAGAGGTTTGTAAAGAGGCACAAGGGAGAAGGACCCCACACACGGTCAGGTTCCACAGAGGAGGGAGCTGTGAGCCAGGCCCTGAGGGGCAGCAGCAGTTTTCTGGAGAAACTGAGGGGTGGGACAAGGGGCGTATAGAGGTCAGGCAAAAATCATCTATGTCTCTCGCTACATCTCTCTCTCTATCCATTCACCCCGCGCCACCCCAGCAAATGACCAGCCCTGTGCCAGCCCCTAGGAAACAGCACGTCCTCTGCAAGGTCAGAAGATGAATGAGGAAGAAAGGTCTCATTCCCCTTTCTAAGCAGTACAGCCAACCCCTCCGAGGTGGGCACCTGGGGTCAGGCCCCAGGGCGGTGAGAGTAACCCTTCCGAGGTGGGCGTGCAGGGTCGGGCCCCAGGGCAGTGTGGTAACCCCTCTGAGGTGGGCATGCGGGGTCGGGCCCCAGGGCAGTGCGGTAACCCCTCCAAGGAGGGCGTGCGGGGTCGGGCCAAGGACAGTGCGGTAACCCCTCCGAGGTGGGCGTGCAGGGTCGGGCCCCAGGGCAGTGCGGTAACCCCTCCAAGGAGGGCGTGCGGGGTCGGGCCAAGGACAGTGCGGTAAGCCCTCCGAGGTGGGCGTGCGGGGTCGGGTCCCAGGGCAGTGCAAGCAACCCCTGAGGTGGGTGTGTGGGGTCAGGCCAAGGGCAACCCTGCCCCCGCATCCCATCCCCACACCTCTCCAGCAGCCAGGTATTGCAGTGTCACTAAATTCTGGCCACGGTGAAGAGAAGAAGCGATAAGTAGGCTTCTGGGAGAGACTTTAAGCACAGGGAAGGCTCCTCTCCTCCCCCCTCCTCCCCTCTACTCCACTGTCCAAGCACAGGTGCCGTGGGGACCTGAGACCCCCACCAGCTTATCTCAGGGGCGCTTCACTCAAGGTCACAACGCCTGACCTACAGCCTAACAATCCACTTGGCTTCATTACCAACTGGCTACAAACAATAAGGCGGAGCTCCCAGGGCTCCTGGGAGAACTGGGGAATCAGGACCCAGCACGACCCCAGTCCCCAGACACAAGACACTCCCTACGTCATGATTCTGACCTGCCTTCCCACCTCCCAGTCTCTCTAGGTTTACTGAGTCAGCTCATTTTCTGTTAAAGAATATGTCTTAGGGATGAGCCTTCAAGTCTTTTGCAATGTTTGTTGAGTGAGTGATGAGTGAGTGAGCAAGGGAATGAGTGAATGAATGAGAGAATGAATGAGTTAGTAGGTAAATGAGCAAGTGATGAGTGAGTGAGTGAATGACGGAGTGAGTAAGGGAGTGAGCACATGAATGAATGAATGAGGGTGGGAGTGAGTAAAAGAATAGGTGAATGAATGAGCATATGAGTGAGTGAGTCAGCACGTGAGTGAACATGCGAGTGTGACTGAATGAGGAAGTGAATGAGCGTGTGCATGAGTGAAGGAATGAAGGAGCGAATGAAGGAGCGAATGAAGGAAGGAGTGAATGAGAGAAGGAGGGAGTGAATGAATGAATAAGTAAATGAGGGAGTGAATGAAAGGGAGTGAATGAGCACTGTGTGAGTGAATAAGTAAATGAATGAGTGAGTGAATGAAGGAGTAAATGAATGAGGGAGTGAATGAAGGAGTAAATGAATGAGGGAGTGAATGAGTGAGTGAATGAGCACTGCATGAGTGAATGAGTGAGTGAGGGAGGGAGGGAAGGAGGGAGGGAATGAGGGAGTGAATGGAGTAAGTAAACAAATGAGGAAGTGAATGAGTGAATGAGCAATGCATGAGTGAATGAGTGAATGAATAAGGGAGTGAATGAGTGTGTGCATGAATGAGTGAGGGAGTGAA